TCAGCTGGAAAAGAAATTCCAGACTTTTAACTTGGAAATGCCAAAACCAGGACCTGCGGCCCCCAAGTGGGTAACTTGTCCTCACCTGTCACCTGTCACCCTCACGCAAGTCCTTTGTCTAGGTCTCCTCCCCCGAGTTGGCCCTAGTACACTTACAGAGAAAAACACTTCCACAGCTTCCTTCTTCCTCCACCTTGTTTTACAATAAAGATCCCACCAAAAAGAGCCTAGGGTCAATACAACGTGATTGGCTTGGAAGGACCTTGGGGCTGGGATATGAATGCATAGAGCACTTGCTGCATGTGTTTGAGGTTCTGGGTTTGACCTCTAACCTCAGAAGAGAAATGGGTGAGACTCTGTGTGAAAACAAACAAGACTACATAAAAAGAAAAATACCAAGATGCCACTCCCTGGCAAGATCGATCCTTCCATTGAATTCCCCTCCCCAAGAGACTTATGGAAATCCAGTGAGATCTTTCTATGTTTCCTTTCACAAATCCATGACATTGTTGAGTCAATACCAGAGCCCACCATTCTTACCACGAATCACTGAAACTCAGAGAAGGCTGCTATCTCCCTACGCCAACCCCACACACCTCTGCCGTTCTCTTCCAAGGGGTCAGACCTTGATAATAGCCTGTCTTTTAACTCCCATAAGCATGGCCAGCCCAGGGAGTAGTAGTAACCAAACTTTATTAAATGGTTGGGAATAGCCAAGATAGAGTGTAAGAAAAATCACACAGTTGGTTCAAGTTATTCGCTGGCTTGCACGTAAGACCTCAAGTTCTTGCCTTGGTTGTTTTCAGTGGATTTCCACATGGTGAAAACCAGCTCTGCTACCATCCTTAGCATTCACTCCAAACACCATATCCCTTCCCCAGAACAAGAGCCGGTCTCTACTTCCCCAGTAGAAACCCAGAGTAGGTTTCTACAATCATCCCAGGATGGCTAACTAACAATATTCTTCATCTCTTAGAGGAAATTCCACACCACCCCTCAGGATGTGGTCTGTCCTCAGGATCCCTAACCATATGTCCCTAGCACCTGGGTTGTTCAGACTTAAATAACACTTCAGTGGCATACCAACAGTCCTATAAATATCCGTACTTAGGAACAAATGTTTTCAATCTATACTGTTTTATAGACTGGTGGGTATCTTAGTCTGTGCATCTGCTTCATCTTCAAGAAGTATGTGATAGTTTTTGCAACTTTCCTTATATAAAGTAACACTTCTCCAAAGATGAGTTCATATTAAAACTTTAGAAATCCATGGGTGACAGTCTTAATGCAAAAACAATCTCTGTGCTATATTGCCCTCTGCAAAAGACTACTACTACTACTACTACTATGAACTGAAGTAGGAATCTCACTGCACTGTCATTTTGGGTAGAAACTTCCATCATTTTAATTGATGACTAGCCGGGGTAGCTGTATCCCATTCATACAACACATATTTACTGAGTACTCTTTGCAAGCTTGTACAAATTATATTCTCTCTCTATTGTTTCAGATTCCAAATTACTCAGAAAAAGCTGGAAGTGAGGCTGTGGCTCAAGTGGTAGAGCATTAGCCTTGAGCACAAAGAGACTCAAGGACAGCAACCAGGCCCTCAGTTCAAGTCCCAGATTGGCAAAAAAAAAAAAAAAGTTAGACGGGCAGTTACCTGATCTCTACTCCTCCAGTAGGTAGGATTCCAGTCTTGAGTCTGGCTTTATTCTATAATTTCTGTATATAAGAGTTGCCTTCTAAAATGTCTGAGTGCCTTTGAGTTGGGAGTTTGGGTTGTGGAATGACAAAGGGAGTCATTTCAGGCATAGATTATACTGACAGAGTCCCCCATACCCAACCAAATATTCAAATGCAGTAGACCTCTAGGGAGAGAGAGCAGAAGCTTGTATACTCCTTCCTCACTACAAACTGGAGAATGCGATGCTCATTAAACTAAAGAAACTAGATTTTTCAAAAGAGCCTGCATCAAAACTAAAGTCTCCTTTCACCAGTAATCAAAATTAGAAAACGCTTGCTTTACAAATTGAACATATATAAAAATCCCTCCTAAGGAATGAGCCCCAAGAATCATCTGACTCATTAGAACCAGTGCTAATCTTCAAGAGGTTGGAATATTTCATTATTTCTTATCCCCTCCAGGTGAATGTAAGAATCTAAGAGTTTTACATTCCAAAAGACAAACATTTGACTTACTTTAGTGAACTCTCTTCAGGAGAACGTCTTGGGATGAAGTGAGAAATGTTATTTACTAATTGGAAAATAAAGAGGTAAACTATTTTTTCCCTTGATAACTACTGTAGTTCGCTCTCTCTATGCTTAGATAAAGTATGTTTTTTTTTCAGAGGTGACTTAATTAGGCACAAATGAACTGTGATGGCTAAATGCTGAGCAGAGATTTGCTAATTTGAACTTCTTTCACCCTTCACCCAGATAAAGAAAAGAGCCAGGTCTAAATCTCATAGGAAAGTTTGTTGTGAGTTTGGTAGAATTCTTCCCAGAGTAAGGTTGATTCAAATTTTCCCTAAAGTGAGGTAGCTTAGGGAAGCATACCCATACACATATCAGATGCTCATGGGTACTTCTTCCTGGCAACGCCCACCCCAGTGTCCCATCCCAAATCCATGCCTCGGGCAAGTGCTCCACAGCTGAGTCCCATTCTCAGTCCCCATCTCCCTCCTTTGCTGATGACTGAAGTCACCTGGGAGTAAAGGCAGTGATAGTGGTTTTGAAATAGAAGTGACCTAATTTTCCTCCCTGTCAGAAATCACTTTAGGAAACTCTATGTTTTATTTCTTTGAGAGAGTTCTACAGATTCACAGTAGAATGGGCAACAAAATGAGGGTAATATACTTTTTACTAAGAAACTATAAATAAAACTATAGTTTTATAAAGAAAATTGTAACTAAAAGTGCATCTGAAAATACAATACTTCCCCATTTCCAATGGCAGATTTGGATGCTACTTATATAAAATGTAATACCTAGAGTAACCATGAAAAAGCCATGTAAAGAAATACATTACAAGTGATAATATATAAATCAAAACTAAACTAGAAAAAATCAAACCAGAAAAAGGCACAGAAAAGGAACACAGAGAGAACCAAGAGAGGGCAAATAGAAAATGACAATAGGGGAGTTACGCCTGTCATGGTAATAGTTATATATAAATATAAATGGCTGAGCTATATACTGCCTAAAAGAAATTCATCTCAAGAATAACAAATTAGGCAGGTGGAAATTATATATATACACCAACATGAATCAAACAGCAAGAATGTATAAAGATTTCAGAGCAAGGGAAATTAGCACTAAGGACATTACTTGTGATAAAAAAAAAATCAGTCTGGGGCTAGGAAGGTGGCTCAGTGGTAGAGTGCCTGCCTTGCATGCCTGAGGCCCTGGGTTCTATTCCTCAGCACCACATAAGCAAAAAGAAAAAAGCCGGAAGTGGTGCTTTGGCTCAAGTGATAGAGCACTTGCCTTGCATGCATGAGGCCCTGGGTTCGATTCCTCAGTACCACATAAGCAAAAAGAAAAAAGCCGGAAGTGGCGCTGTGGCTCAAGTGGTAGAGCGCTAGCCTTGAGCTGAAGAGCTGAGGGACAGCGCCCAGGCCCAGAGTTCAGGCCCCACGACTGGACCCAAAAAAAAAAAGAAAAAAGAAAAAAAATCAGTCTAACAAGAAGATAGGGCAGTGCTGAATGTACACATATCAAGCAACAGAGCTGCAAAATAGGCAAAGTAAAACTTATGGAACTTAAAGAGAAACACAATCCACAGCTGTAGCTGAGATTTCAATTTCCCTTTCTTCACACCTTCAACAACTTATAGAATAACTATAGAGATGATCAGCAAGGATAAAGGGCGCATCAACACTACTAATCCCCATTAATCAGCAAGGATAAATAGCACAGCAGTACAATTAGTCAACAAGATGTCATCAACATTTATAGGACAGCAATCCAAAACAGAAAACTTTTTGGCAGTGGAGTTATGTCTAAAGTTGCAAAAGGAACAGTCCCCAGGCCCTAAGATTAAGTCCCATGACTGGTATAAAACAAAAACAAAAGCAACAAAACAGAAAACAGAAGACTACATATACATCACAAGGTCCCATGGAACATATACCAAAACAGACCACAAACAGGGGCTGAAAATAAATCTCAACAACTTTAAAAGAATTGAAAATGTATAGAGGAAATGCTTAGAACACTATGGAATCAAACTTGAAATCATTAACAATGACAATAGAAAAGTCTTCCATTAAGACTTGGAAAAAATTATATTAAGTGAAGTAAGCCAGGCCCAAAGAAACGTAGGTCCTATGGTTTCCCTTATTTACCATAACTAGTATACATCTAGGATAATCTTACCAGACAAGCAGACAAGGTCAAAAGCTATGTACATATGACTATATAAGATGTACTAAGTGAAATGAACCCCAAATAGGGACACAAGAGGTTTTATCTTTATTGCTGTTGTTTTTAATGTACTTATAATGTACTATATGATTTTGGGGTTTTTTTTGTATGTTCTTCCCCCATGGTATAACCCCTAATTTCACTGTATTTGATTCCGGTGCCCTGCATCCTGTATGTACTTTTTTCTAATTTGGGGAGGGAAAGGGACATAACAAAATGCTGAAATAAGGATATAGGTTGACCCATTGTAACAATGAGATGTACAAGACACTGTGTTGAAATGAACTTTACAACGTTGTCGGGGGAGGGGGGAGTTTGGGAGGTGAGGAGGGAAGGGATGGTAGGGGAAAAACAAAGGAGGAGGTAACAATGCTCTATTGGAAATGTACTCATTACCTTACTCATGTAACTGCAAGCCTTCTGTACAGTATCTTTACAATAAAAAATATATATGAGAAGAAAAAAAAGAAAAGTCTTCTGTTTGGAAACTAAGCATACTGTTGTTCAGTCTGGATACAGCATGCTCTGTCTTATAAAAGAATAAATTACATTTTCTTTTACTGTTTCTCCGAGAATCTATTCTCAGGCTGGGGATGGTGTTCAGAAGTAGAGCGCCTGCCTAACCCTTTTGAAGCCCTCGGTTCAGCTTCTACAGCTACAAAAGAAGTAAAAAGATTAACGAACATATTTTCTTCACGGAAAGCACTTACAGAAAGCCTACAGGTAACATCATACTGGATAATGGAAGCCCGAATGCGTTCTCCAGAAGACTGGGAACAACGCAAAGCTGTTCCGTTTCACCACAATTGTTCATCAGAATGCTGGAAGTTAAGCACAGAAAGTACAATTCGATTAGAAGAGGAAATCAAAGGAGTGGATATGGAAAAGAAGAAACAAGACTGTCCTCTTTAGAAAACTTATAGAAAGTCCCAGAGAACTATCAAAAACACCTGAATTCAGCATAGCCTTAGAATACAAGATAAAAATACCAAATTTAGTTACATTTATGTATAGTAACCCTGAACCTGTAATTAAAAAATGAGTTACCATTGTAATCATTTAAAAAAGTTAGAAGCCTGGTGCCTGCAATCCTAGCTACTCAGGAGGCTGAGATCTGAGGATCATGGTTCAAAGGCAGCCCAGGCAAGAAAGTCCATAAGACTCTTATCGCCAATAAACCACCAGAAAACCAAAAGTGGCACTGTGGCTCAGGTGGTAGAGCACCAGCCTTGAGCTGAAGAGCTGAAGGACAGTGCCCAGGCCCAGAAGTCAAGTCCTACGATTAACAAAAAGAAAAAGAAAAAAAAAGTTAGAAGTCTAACAAAATATATACCAGACCTGTATGCTGAAAATTTTAAATGCTGATAAAACTAATCAAAGAAGTAAATAAAAGGAGGACATATGATGTTCCTAGATTAGAACACTCAACATAGTAAAGCCATCAACTCTCTCCAAATTAATGAATAGATTCAACACCATGCTCATCAAATCCCAGTAAGAGTTAAAAATATCAGAAAATCATTATTCTAAAATGTATACACAAAGGCAGAGATAGATAATTTGGAAATTCTTGGCTGAATAATGGCTGACACTTTTCCCAAGTTAATGATAAGAACTTATCAAGAAGCTCAGAGGATGTCAAGTTGGATAATACCAAAATAAGTACATACATAACCCCTCCACAAATACACACACAATAGTCTTCTTCCTTCCAACCCAGGACGATTGTTCTTTATGATTATCCTCAATTTGCGATGCTCATAAGCTTTGTTGGATGTAAGCAGAGGGCACCTCTGTGGCCGTGGGCAGCAGGCGTCTACTCCTGGTTCAGGCTCTGAACTGGCCTCCTGCTCCAGCTGTGACTAACCTTGGCTGGTCCTGGGCTTATCTCCATGGTGCCTGGATAGGCTACAGATCCAGGCCTAGCTCCCTTGTAGAATCCTGGCATCCATCTGCTAACAGGTGACCCCAAGCCCTTGATCATCACATGACCCCCCCCCCGTTTTTTTTGTTTTTTTTTTTTTTGCTATCCATGCTGCCCAGTGGCTTTCCTCAGCTCACACTGGGATCTTGCTCAAGAGGCTTGGGAAACTTTTGTGACTTTCCCCACAAGTTCAAGTGCACGTCTATTGGAGGAGACATTCTCTGATGCTCTGCAGCCCTTATTTTCTGGGCTATCCATCCTCCTATACCCCATCACAACAGTGTGGGGAAGGAGACACTTACACCCGGGAATTCCCATCCCCACTCTCATTCTTGGTTATGAGTTTGCAAAATGTGCACTGAGAAATCCTTCATTCACATCTACTTTTCCCTCCATTTGGCCACACGAGAAACTGATTGTATGCATATGCTTCAGGATTTTTCCTGAAGGTGTGAATTTAAAAATCTAGAATATTCTACTTTTGTGTTTCTACTTCCTTGGTGTGAATTTAAGAAGGTGTGAATTTAAGAATCTAGAATATTCTACCTTTGTGCTTCTACTTCCACGGCCTCTTCCTTTTCCTCAGAAAATGTGCAATTTATGGCCAACTTAACCTGAAATAAGAAACAGATCTAGGGTGTAAGTGGTATGAAAGTTTTATAGAAACCGATCAGAAGGACAAACCACGAAAATCAGTACATGCGGGGGTGTGGGGGGGAAGAAGGATTGTATCATTATATCAGTAAACTGGTTATCATGAATGATTCACATAACAATGCTTCCAAGACAATATTCTATTCACAGTGTTGTAGGGCTTTTTCTACTGGACTTTAGACCATTTGCCTTTCATCCACACTACAATTCAGTATGGATCTAAGACAAGAATCTCTTTGAAGTTGGGTGTGATGGTACATGTGTATAATCCCAGCACTGCAAGACTGTCTCTCAAAAAATAATAATCAAGGAATCTTTTCATACATACTTAATCACATGAATGTTTTCATGCTTTGTCAAAGGAAAGAGAGAAACATATATAAGAACACAATGAAGCAGAAAGGAAATCCCTGAACAGACTCCTAGAGGGAAATGGACTGTGTGCAAGTCCTCATCTCAATTTTATGTGGACCACAGAGCTTTCATTCCCCCTTCTCTTTAGCTCTCCTCCAACATCCTAACACCTTCCTTCCATTACATGGGTTCTATTTCCCTGCAGACCCTTTGTGATGCCTCCTGTCAGCTTAAATCCAAAGACCCCTTCACATTCTCAGGCCATGTTTGGCCCTAGCCAGCTGTCCCACAGATCACCTCACATCCTGGTGCACAGGGTACTATAGATAATTAACTTTGTAAATTCCCTATAAAAATCCAAGCCAATGCACCCTTGGTCAAAGACTTCAAACACAAGAAAATCCTTTGTGTGAACAGGAAACAGATTTACGTACTTACTGTTAACTAGACAAACAACTTGTAAGTGAATTGCATTTGTTCCCTTGGCAGCACTGTTTGTATAAAGAGGCTTAACTGAAAGATTAAGACAAATTCTATCTTAAAATATTGTGCTGTAAAACCACACACCTGCCCTATGTTCAAAGGACTGTGTCTTATTCCAGGTTGTATAAGCATGAGGAAAAGTTTTCCATGAAAAATGGTTCACAGTAGCAAATCTACATATCCAAAGCAAATCTCTCCAAATCCCAAATTTCTTGAACTCTCCAAGTGAAGAGTGAAAGCCAAGCTTGCCTGCTTCCTGGAGGAATAATAGCTACACTGCTAGTGTGGAAACTTCCAAAGTCCTATGGAAAACAGGAACTAATGACCTCTAAAAAAAAAAGCAAGAAACACAGCTACTTTGGACCTTATGAAACAGATTTAGGATTCTGCTAATCTAATCATGATTACTGGGGCATGGGGGAATGCAACTTCCCTAGCTTATAGGATGATATCTTTTATTTTCTATCAAGGATTGTTGTTTGAGAGTATCAGAAGGAGATACGAAACCTAGGAGAAGGTTTAGAGAAGCAACCACAGGCTTCCAGCTCTCCACAAGCTGAAATTTTCTGGGAAACTACCGACAAAGCAGATAACATTCATATACCCAGGTGTGCAGAAATATAACTGGGAGAGGCCCATTCATCTACGTATTTTAAAAAACTGCTCTTTTATTACTACCTGCAGCTTTCAAATTAATGGCCTAATGCTGCTCAGAATGAATAGAGCACCTCTTAAAGGACAGTTGAACTTATGTCATTTTTTTCACTCCAAACAGGAAATGCTCTGACTGAGCTTCTGGCAGAGCTACTCTAGGCACCATGCCAAGGTCTGCTCACCACGCCTTTATTCTCCTATTTTTACCTCATCCAAACCTTTGCCTGGTGCTGTCATTCCTTTCTCGTCTCCTCTTTCCTGCTTGCATCTCCCTCCTGCATGTTAGGTAATAGAGGAAATGTACATTCCTGCTTAAATGGGGCAAGCTCAGCCCAAAAAGATGTAGAAATCAGTTATTGGCTTGGTCTTTAATACAAAAATACATATAAAAATCCACTGAAGTACCCAGTCTGGTAAACCAGGCTCTGTTGGTTTCTCTAAAAGAATGATGCCTTAATATACACTATCTAGAAAAACTTCCTTTCCAATATTTAAGCCACTTAGCATTTCTCCTAAGTTTCAATAGAGATTTCCAATGAGCCAGACTCAGAAACACATTCACTACTAATCCAGTCTGTCTCTCAAGTGCTTCTCCATCTCTTCAGATACCTGGTCTGCTTCTGGGTCGTTAATAGGCTTAATTTTATAACAGTAAATGTCTCCTTGAAATGTACTTGCTAAACTGATCTCAGCTAGGGCGAATCAGGAAGGCTACCCAGACTTCTCATCTGTTGGAGTGTTACTGTTTTCTTTGTTTATGGAAGAAACTGTCTTCTTCACACACCATCACACCCCCTCAGCTCCTTCTTCATTTCATGTACCCAGCCTGAAGTGGAGAAGCCATGTTCAAGTTCTGATCGCATGGCTTCCTCGCTAGCAATCTTGGCGATGATTCTTTTTACCTCCCTCACCCTTGGTTTCTGGCTTAGAACCATACCAAACAGTCTTATCTAGTCTTCCTTTCTGGATTTTCCCTTAGAGTCAGAGGTCATTTCCACCTACACTGAAAATGACAAAGCATTGCCATGCAACTAAGAAACAATGGTGTCCCTCGACCCTCCCTTCATAAGGTTTCCTGTTGTGGCTACTGAAGTCAGGAATTCATGGACTTGAGCAGGGCCGTTTACTCATTTCTCCTGTTCCTGTGAGGCTCACAACACTTCTTTCAGACAGAGAGAAAAGTATTTTGACAAGTGGTGATTAGCATGTAAACATGCAAAAGAGTGGTTACTGGGGTTGATGCAACTCTCTTAAAACATTAAAGGTAAGTATTATTATCCCACAAGTATGAATTATCTTTGCTGCAAAAAAGGGAAAGAATCAGTGTTAGGTTTTTCTTTCCATTTTATTTTTGCTTTCGTGTGTGTGTGTGTGTGTGTGTGTGTGTGTGTGTGTGTGTGTGTGTGTGTGTGTGTGTGTGCTGGTATTGAGGCTTGGACTCAGAGCCTGGGTGCTCTTAGCTTTTTCACTCAAGGCTGGTGCTTTACCACTTCAGCCACAGCTCCACTTCCTACTTTGAACTGTAACTGGAGATAAGGTCTCATGGACTTTGCTGCCCAGGCTGGCTTCACACCTCAATCCTTAGATCTCAAAGTCCTGAGTAGCTAAAATTATAGGGTGCCTGACTCTTCTTAAGTGCTGAGGATGGAAGGCAGGGTCTGTGTTTGTTAAGCAAGAGCTTTACCATTGAGCTACGTTCAAACCATAGATTCAGTGTATTGATCAGGAACACTCCCTTGTCACTAGATTTTCTTCTCAAGACAATTTGGTGATGAACCCAGACAGGCTAGCTCTTCCAAGTTGAAACGAGGTCAATGTTTCTTGTCTGGGACATTTATCAGAT